TATTGCAAAACATACAGGATCAAAATTGAAAACACTGTTTTTTGACCTAGAGAGTCGTCGAGATTGAATATTCATCGTATTTCCTTCATATTCTCTTATTTTCTAAGATATGTGGAAAAATGTTCAATATGTTATTTGTAGAGAATTAAAATGACACATCTTCTAAAAAAGAAATTAAAATTTTACCATATTTCTAGACTAAGATATATGCAAAATAAAGAATGTTGCAATCATTATTCCAGTTAAATGGCTATTAACAGTGTTAATAGCCAATTAACTGTGACAGTTATTTTACTTGTAGTGAATAAATACTTTATTCCCGTATAATAACGTTTATTCAAACACCAACGTTTCGGCTTGATAAAACCTTTTTCAAGGTGACAGTAGAAAGAGTGAAACTAGAAAGAACATTAAAATCGGTGAAATATATTCAGTTATTAAAAAAGTGGCAAATCATCGAAAGTAAAGTGCTGAATTCAGGTGTGATTTATTTGAAGATGGTTCAGGCTCAAATATTACACTTTTCTAGTTCTAAGAGTATACATATTCGTATATGTTTGAGTGGACTTTTTCTCAAATGTTTTTCCTGTCCCTTTGTCTATCCATGTTTTAATTGTTGGTAGCCATTGATTTGTTATATTGTACTATTATAGCAGTTATTTTACATTTTAGGATGCACAGTTAAATGCCTGTTTTTTGCCATTATAACAGCCAAAAACTTTACAGTAAACGGTGACTGTTAACTGCCGTTTTTTCAACATTTTGTGGTATGTTAAATGCCTTTCTCGAATCTTTATCAATAATCATATAACAGACAATAAACTGGCTGTTATCTGCCAGTTTTTTAACAGTTATTTGGGTGTTAAACGCCAGATTTTTTGGCATGCATTTAGAACGCATTATATGACTTATTAAATGTCAGTTATATTTCACAGGGGTATATATTTTCCGATCGGAAATATATATCAAAAAATCATTAAACTAACAAGAATGTCTGATATCTAACCGAGCCGATCCTGAAAAAAATTCGAATTTTGAACTGAGCATAGCCTAACGTAGAGGAAAGTGTGGACTACAAAATAAGACCACTCCCAGCACTCCATGGCCTTTTTTTTCAAAAAGTTATGCATTTCTGAAGTTTTTCCTTCAAAGCCTAAAACAACTCAATTTTTTAGTATCATAAACTTTTTTCTGTACATTCAAAATTTTTCTTCATTGGATCACATTACGAGCCCCCTTAAATTGCATCCGATGGAGTTAAAAATTTTACCAGGAGTACTCAAGACCCTATACTAGCGGTATCTTTTTGGAACTTCATTTTAGACTTTTCTTCACCGAGTTTTAGGGTTTCTAAAATTGAAAAACTTGTTTTTTGTGACGTTTTTCAGTATTTTTCTTATAACTCAACCAGAAAAGATCTTAAAAAAATTTCCCAAAAAATACCTCTGCGATATAACGTTGAGTACCTCTGGTAAAATGTTTAACTCCATCGGATGAAATTTAAGAGAGGTTCTAATGTGGTCCAATGAAAAACCGAGTTTTCTGGAAACCTGGTGAACGGCAATAGTTACAAGCTCAAAATGAGCGGAGCGGTACCCTTAAAAGCAACATATTTTGTAAGACAGTCGAGAATACCAGCAGCTCAAAGATGTTTGAAGTATAAAGCATGATTAAACTATGTCGAAAAATAGTTGATTTTTCTTGAATATCTGACTTTCTTGAATGCGTATGAGAATAAGGAAGCAGCATAATTCAGAAAGCGTCAGCATTCTGTCACTTTTTAACCATATAAAGAGATTAATCAATCGTTATATGAAGATATATTTAGATATATAGAAAACGGCTTAGAACTTTATTATTTCTCCTAAAACCGGACAGGAAATATCAAATTCTTTCTGGATTTTCATCCGCTGGGCTGAAAACGTGGGTGGCGTATTGGATATGCGACCCACGTCAGTTGACACCGAGAGCCTTCTTGTGTTATTTCTAGATGATCCATAAATTTTATTCAGTAATAGAAAAGATAGTCACGTCCCTAGTCAAAATCCTAATTGAATCCGGGTGATCGGAAAGTTCTAGGATTTGATAGGATTTTATTTTATTTGAATCTAGTCTCTATGATATCCTAGAGACTAGATCCTAATAAAATCCTAGAACTTTCCGATCACCCGGATTCAGTTAGGATCCTATTAAGATCCTGGTAGGATTTTGGCTGAGGATAGCGTGAACTCTTGCCATAATCTCGTTACTGTCATATCATCTCAATTATTCAGATCAAAAACTATTCTAGGACTTGAACAAAAAACATGTTCAATATATTCTTTTTGAATATCTGTAAAGAATATTGCTTTACAATATCGAACAACAGGATATTTTGAAGCAACGACATTTTTGTACAAGTAGTGCTATTTTCTTTTTTACCCTGTCTCGCACCTATAGTTTTAGCTATTTTTTTTGCTGATGATTATCGGCAACTTGTAACTGTTCTGGCAATTTGTTAATTGTACTCAATATTTTGGCAAGTATTCAATTGTTTTGTTATTATTTAGGTTCATCGATGATATTTGCATTCTGTTTTCTGAGTATACGATAATAAAACTTCAGTCGTTTGAATTATTGCTGGCATGAATTTATATACTGTCGTATACGCATTAATAATGGCTTCTATTTGTAAATTAAATAATTGAATGTTTATTCGCTCATTGATACCATATAACTCAATATTTCAATTATACTTAATATACTACGAGTTTCAAATTACTTTCGTCTCTTTCTTACTTTGCCTATATACAATAGTGTGATAAAGTGTTTCGTACACTTTACCTACTTTCATATACCCTTTCATTATTGCCGACGTATTCGACAGCAGAGAATCACTGGTTAAGTAATCAGTATAGGAGTTGTTCACTTATCATGTGGGAGTCGTTCTGGATAGTTTTAGAAATAATATGTTTACCATAAGAATCTATTATAGGACATCAAACTGTGAGCTTACTCGCGACACTAATTGAAAATTTTCAATGAAGAGAATTGAAAGAATTTCACAGAAATAAGCTAATGAATCAATTTTTGCACCGTGATAAAACTATCAGCAAGAGAAGGTGGTTTTTAAGAGGTCCATCAAAGAAAGATGTAAGAGTGCAAACGAAAGCCAGTTTTGTGATCACTGTCAACAATTCTCTCTGAGAAAGTTTGTTTCGACAAAACAGCTATTACACAAATGTGTTATTCAATAAAGACCATCATCGCCAGACAACATGAAAGTATTCTGCTGGCTCACTCTCATGCACAGTCACCCCACCCACCCGAAACCGCCTCTCATAGACCGTCAAATTCAGAACTAATTCAACATAACACTTTGAATAACACATTTGTGCAGTGTAGAAGTACATTTTGGATTGTCAATTATTGACAAGGAAGCCGTATGAATGAAAACCAGAATATATAGTCCATTCAAAAATGACCGAACTCTATGTAGATTTGTGGCATACCAGTTAAATAGTTTGATTAAAACATAACAAAGATCTTCTGATTTCGCTTATAGATCGAACATACTTTTTGCATCTAAATCTAAAATCAGAATGTTTTTTATCATGCTCTGATCAAAAGCTGTTCGCCCTAGAGAATGTCCAGTTTCCCTGATCAGACCACTGGTCAGTAAACTGTAAGTAAAAAAGCCTTTGCCCTGTTTTCTTGGTCAGGATCTGTTGTTTTTCCTGACCAGTGAAAGAAATCAACAACAGGACCTGCTTTTTGGACAGTCATCAGCATTTCACCAATACCCCGGCATTAGAAGTGACGTATGGTAGACGAGAATTATCTATAGATATAAATGTTCACGTAGAAAGAACTGAAAATAAATTCTCTTACGTTCTTGCAGTTAGACAGAAAAGTACAGCCTATCCACCCCTGATCAGTGTCTGTTTGTTGGAAAATGTCAAGACCAGTCCAAGATTTACTGTTTATCTGATCAGTAGAAAAAACAGATTTTCTTGATCTGTTCTTATCACTTTCTTGATCTGGTCTTAGAGCTGATCAGGACAGGAAAATAAAAATAGGAAACAGACAACTGGAAGTAAATAAGTCTGTACTCTGTTTTCAAGACCAGATAAACTGGACATTCTCTAGGGTCAACTTGCAGAATTTTTCAACATTTTTCTGTTATCATATTCAGCTATGTGTTCTAATAACTAGTAGTAAAATATTTATGGTTTTATGAGAAGTATTTTATTTTAAAACGGTAGAAAAAAGATGATTGTAAAGTACAGACCTGCAAAGGTCGGGTCGGATTCGGGTTGAACATTGTGCGACGCAATTTAAAATATAGATAATAATTTCAATTTTGTAGCCCTCAAAGGAGGACCCATATCAGTTCTTTCAAAAGTTGTGAATTTTTTTGTTCTAAAGGAACACTGTGTGTAGTAACAGTAATAATTCTGTAAGCCAGTCAGAACAAAGAATTAAAAAGTGAAATTATCTTTTGTACTTTCGCTAATAGTCTGCTAATATTACAGAAAATTGGAGCGTTATATTTTCCTAAATTCGCTTCCCATTGAACTTTTCTTTCTGAAGGAAAACAATGCTTTTCCAAACCGCGCAGTTTTCAATGATAACATTTCTCTGTTATTAGAGGTGATACTGAGAATTTACAAAGATAAAACGTTCGGATTTTCTGGAATATTAGCAGACTATTAGCAAAAGGTCATTCACCTGAAACGCGATGCCCTCCGCTAAATAAATAGGTAAATAAAAAGACATAAACTAAAAAACAAAACAAAAGAGTAAAAATTTATCGGGTCGGGTCGGGTTTGGGTTACATTTTCTTAACCCGTGCAGGTCTCTATTGTAAAGTTTCGAAGTTGCTATAAATGAATATTCTCCACCAGGAAATGGCCTTCTGTAATTTATAAACCGTTTCACTAAGACAAGCTCAGACTTATAGAACACATTTTATGCATAAATTGGGCTTTCCTTTGAAGATCTCTCTGTAAGCACAAAAAATGACTGATTATAAACGTTTGATTCAACATGATGAGTTAGAAATGGCAAATGATCTCTTGGATTCAAAGGAAGATGAAAATATTGTGCTCATCTGGTTTGATGATCATATTGACGACGAAATCAAAGATTTAATGATACGAACGAATTATGGTGATAAAAATAATAACGTAGTATGTTATGATCGTCAGCATGTGATCGTATTGATAAAAATGAACAAGAAAAAATCATATTGATTGTAGCAGGACAGTATTCAGAAGAAATAATACCACTAACTCATAACAAAGATCAGAGCGATAGTATCTACATATTCTGTTTAAATTCAAATAAGTATCGATCACTAATTGATAGTAAAAAATATTCAAAACTGGTTGGCGTTTATACAGAATATAGACAGCTGTTTGATACAATACAAAAGCAATTACGTTTATTAATTAAATTTCGTTTCTTTAATCAAAAACAAAACGCTATTCATTTTTTATCGAATGATTCATCAGAATACTTATTGTATCAAGTGTTAAAATATTTATTATTTCTAATGCCAAAACTGATAATACTAAAAAGGAAATGTTAGATTGTTGTCGATACCATTATAGAAATAATCCGTCACAATTAAGACTAATCGATGAATTCGACGAACGGTACAAATCAGAGCATGCAATATCTTGGTACACTCGTGATTCATTTCTCTATCGTATTATTAATAAAGCGCTACGTACTGAAAATATTGATGCGCTTATCAGGCTAAGATATTTTATTATTGATGTATGCACCATGTTGAAATTAAAACATGATGAACAGCAACAGCAACAACAAAAATCAAAAGTATATCGTGGATTAAAACTAACCGACGCTGAGATTGAACAATTAAAATTAAATATAGGACGTATTATATCAAGAAATGGCTTCTTGTCAACTACTCCGTCATCTACTATCGCTGAAATGTTTGCGGCAAATGTTATATTTGAAATTGAAATAAACAAATTATTATCAGAACAAAATAATATTATTTATGCTGACATATCAAGTTTAAGTTATATGCAAGATGAAGAAGAAATATTATTCGATTTGGGTACGATATTTCGTGTTATTAGCGTGACTTATAGTGATAATCGTCGTTTATGGATTGTATCATTGGTAACTATTGCCGATGATGATGATGATGTATAGCATGAACAAATTACTGGTAAACAATATCACAAATCTCTTAAAATTTCCTTTACGAAGGATACTGATGAAAAGCTACCGTACATATTTATTTCGATTTTGAACCAAATAGGATTGTATGAAAACACAGTTTCGTACTACGAAGGTACATTGCAGTTTAAAATTATACATGATACAGAACTTAATCGAAGACTCTACCAGGATTTAGGAATAGCGTATTTATGTGTTAAACAGTATGAATTAGCCTATAAATACATAATGTCTGCATATAATTTAGCTTGTGAAAAAAATAACACAAATGATATAGCAGCTTGTCTAGCTCATCTTGGCTTAGTTTATATGAAACAGGATATACACGATTCTGCTCTTTGTTATTTTGAACAAGCAATACAAAAATTAGTGATTACTAATGATGGAAGGGAGTTTTGTACTTTACTAATGTGCCATTATAACATCGGTGAAATATACTATGTTTTAGACAATTATTTATATGTCGCTAAACATTATCAGCAAACTTTGAAATGATATAATGATATGATAATAATACAAATAATAAATAATGATATAATACAAGAAAATGATTCTGATCCACAGATTGGAATGGTATACTGTTCAATAGCAGATGTTTATGTCTGTCTAAGAAATTTTCATGATGCATTACATTTTTGTTTGAAACCATTAAAAACTTATCAACGGTTTTTACCGTTCAATCATCAAAATTATGCAACGCTGTTTTACTGTATGAGCAAGTGTTATCATGAAACGAAACAATACACTTTATGTAAAGAGTATAGTGAAAAAACATTGTTATATCAAAGAAAACTGTATAAAAGTTACGGACGACTTATGACTGTGCATCAATATCTTGGTAAATGTTATGAGTTAGAGAAAAATTATGCAACTTCCGTGGAACACTATAAAAAAGTATTATTGCTTACTGAAAAATTCCCATCATTTCCGTTTAACTCTAAGTTCGGTATTATGGAAATTAATGAAAAAATTGGAGGATTATATCATGAGCTAGGACAATACGACTCTGCTATTGAATATTTTTCAAGCGCGTTAAGAATGGCAAACGATAAGACAGATAAAAATGCATACTTAATTGCACGTTTACATAATGTTATTGGACGTTGTTATCAGTACCAAAACAATGAACCATTGTTTCTAGAACATTGTCATAAAGCTCTACAATATTATGAAAAATGTTCGTTCGATGATCAACAGAAGCATTAGAAGATATCATCTATATCAATTATTTTATCGGATTATCAGCTCAAGAAGCAGATGAATATGATTTGGCTATTGAAAAATATTTGCTTGTTTTACAGTTATTTGAAACACATTCATCGATTGATATTCGCAAAGAAATGTATTTATCGGTGACTCATACAATCAAAAACATATGAACGACACAGCTATTGATCATTACAAAACAGCAATACAATTATTAATGACGTATAAAGAAAAAACTGGTGACGAAGAATATTTACAAAAAACTGTACATTTACATTCTTTAGTGGGAGATTCTTACAATAGCATAAACGACGATACTAATGCTACTGAATATTACGAAAAAGCTTTGAAATATAACGTTTTACCGTTTTCAATGACAGATGAACTGCACACAAACCTTTCAGATTTGTATAAAAAAAATGACCAAAAATACCTTATGGTTATTGAACATTTAAAACAATCGTTAAATATAAAAGCGAATAATGACAATGAAAATGATAAAAATATTCTCGATATAGCCTCATTGAATAATGATATTGGATGGCATTATTATATAATTGACGACTGTGATTTAGCATTGCTACATTGTCAGATAACAATGACTTTGTATGAAAAACATTCGGGCATACTTAATAAAAATATGGATTATGCAAATGTTCTTAGCAGTTTGGATGTTATTTGTTATAAATCAAAAGATTATAATAAAGCCTGGAATTATTGTTGGAGATCAATGTCAATACTAAAACAAGACATGTCATCCATTGATGATTATGATACGGCGTATGCATGCAATTACGAAATACTTGGCAATATTTATCTATCAAAGAACAAAAAAAATTTGGCATATAATTGTTTAAAAAAAGCCTTGAGTTTGTTTAAAAAACAAGAGTCAAACAGTTATAGTAATAATATAGCAGCTATTGAACAATCATTCGATCAAAAGTTCAACATCGATGATGTGTATTACGATGTTGATGACGAATTTGAATGGACAACTAAAGATATTAACAGCGTCGAAGGACTGCCTTCACCACCAACAACAAAACGGAAAAAATTTTGATAATAAAAATATGACGTTTGTCTTGAACTCAAAATTTTTCGGAGTTTCGCGTATTCCGCGGAAATGGCGTTTTCCCGATACGAAACCATGGCGGAATCCTCGCTTCCGTCAGATTGTGGAACGGTGAATCCATCAACTAAAGAATGCGTTTTTTGAGGCAGTGGTTAGTGTGAGCTCTGTCTGAGACCCGCCGGATCCACCAGCCGGTAGAGCAACAATCAAAATTTTAAAATCACAGTCCAATAAGATAGTTCAGCAAATAGGTATAGTTTTTTAAAAGCCTCTGAAAATTCTTACATAGAACTCGAAATGATGCTTGAAAGTTTAACGACATCTTTTATTGCTTGTGGAGCTCGAAAAAGGGCACTCTTGTGGGTAGAAAGTTTTCATGTGTATGAGAGATTGGGATGTATGTTTTTAGAAGAGTTTTCCAAGAACTGATTACTCGAAGAAAAAAATAACATTTTTACACTGAATAAAAAACTCTCATTCACTCGATAATGTTTATCTAACGGAAAGGAAGTATTTAAATTCGTTTAAAAAAGTTTTATTTAACGTTCTATTCAAGCCGAAAAGACACTAGTTACGTGTCATGTCAAAAAAGTTGCATGCAAAAAATTACATCCTTGTTGGTATTATAGAAGAGCATTTCTTGTTTCTGTTTCAAACCTATTATCGGATTACCGCTACGGTTGTTCTTTTCTCTTGTCTTTACTTTACAACTCTCTTTTCTAGTGTTAAAAAATAAGACTATCGAAGTGTCTATTCCATCCAAAGCGTCAACTTGGAATAAGCGTGGAAATACAAAGATATATACGTCGACAAAAATTCTCTTTTCTTTTTGTGTAATACTCAGTTACAAATTATGTTGAAAAATTATTTTTGAACAGAAGTTCTATAATAAAAAAAAGAAAAAAAGTAAGGAAGATAAATGCTTTTTTTCATAAAATCTCTACAACAACATCCAAAGAGAATTTATCTTATACGTGTGAAAGAAGTGTATATTTTAACGTGTATAAGAAATAATGGGTAATCATCAAACATATTTTAATGAATGGGATCCAAATCGTTTATCAAAAGTGACTGGTTTAACTCCACAACAAGTACTGGCTCTTCATCAAGATTTTATCCGTGTCACTGATGATGATAATGCGATGGATAAATATGAATTTCGTCGGTGTTATGAAGTTTTGGTTCCAGGTGCAAGTAACACACACCACGCAGCTGACAAAGCATTCAAAGCATTCGACAGGTTTGGTTGGAATTTGTATAGATGTAAAAACTTCAAAGAAATCTTAGTCAAAGATAAAAACTCTTCAGCATATTTTTAGAAACGATACTGGTTATATAACATTTGAAGAATTTTTATCTGCTTATGTCATGTTGAATCAAAGCGTGTCAGCACATGATCGTGCCAATTTTCTCATTGATCAACATAATCCAAATCCAAGTGGTGTCATAACACCAGAATATGGTTGTCAAGTATTTACTCGTATGAACGATTTCTACGGTGTTCAGAGTGATCCAGAACAGTCGTGGGCTCAATTTTACAATGGCAGTAATGGAGGAGATCAAGATCGATTTATACAACATTTGGTCGATCATCCCCAATATAAATCTCATTATTAACTAAACGAAGACATTACTAAAAGACATCTGTACAGATAGAAAAATATTAACCATATACATCATATTTCAGGATGAATTTTAATTGTTTTACTCATGTTTAATCGAGATATCCGTCATACGTACATCAGAGACCCTTTTATGCATTAGATTTCACTCACATCAAGAAAACAGTGAATTTTCGTTTTTGATATACGCGTTAACATCAAGAACTTCATTTCTATCCAAAAAAATATGGGTATTAATTAAGTCGTCCAACTTTTACGTTCTAACATAGCCTTCGATTTGAGGATATCGAGGCTGCTAACAGAGCTCAAACATGACTAAATTATGTGTCACAATCTTTTTTGTTCGTTGTTGTAGTTCTAAAGTAGGTTATCTAGTTTAAACTGGTTGTATGGTAGTTTCAGAAAGCTGTAACCAGCTTCACATCTTGCATGAATTCCGAGACCTATCTCAAAAGAAAGGCCTTCAGATTATTCAGAACAATAAGATGTTCGCAAAAAATGTTTAAGACCAGGGTAAAAGAATACTGCTGTCAGACCAGCATCAGCATTTTTGATCGAAAACGGCAACTCTTTAGAGAAATCGCAATCCCGAACTGTTCGCCAGTCATTTTTTACTAGAACTGAGTGAGTTATGCAGATTTAAGTTTACATGGCTACAAGCAAAAACCGGAGTTTTTGAAAAAATCAGCTGAAGTTCCTTCGGTCTGTAGATGAAAATAAATAATGCCAGGATGATCAGCATAGCCGATTACCTGTGTCTCGAGTGTTTTTGACATTCACAAATCTCCAGATCTGGAGATAGCATGGTCTGTGGAGAACGTCTCTAGCTCCTGGACTATAAGAGATGGATACCTGTGACTTGTCGAGAACTGTAGATCAACATCCAAGGTCTCCAGTCCACTATTTGGAATCGAAAATTCAAAACTTCTTCAATGGTGAGAAAGTTTCTGCAAAACGTTTTGAAGCGGCTTACCACCTGCTGCTGGTATTTCTAAATTTATTTTCACATAAACGGATAGCCCCCAGATTCTACTCTCTAAAACTGAAAACCGCAGCTCACTAGCTATTTCCTGTCAAGAACAATGGAGTGCATTATATTTTGAAATGGATGGATAGTAGTTTGTTGGAGTTTTTCAAACTCATCACGGTACGCATGGCGCTTTTCAGTAAATAGTTTCGAAAAACTAGAGTGAACGGAAAATTATCAAAACTTGATTTTTTTCTATATCGCTCATTTTTTCACTTTTTGTGACTGCTGCGGTTTTCAAGATTTCTACCTAAAACTTGATCAAAAGTCGATAAAAAGGCGATATTCGGAATCAGCTCGACGGGCTCTATCTAACCATGTATGTTTCAAGGAAATCTATTTTTTTGCTTACCTTTGGAGCATCTTACTTGTAATGGGATTCGTTGATGTTGATTTATCCTAAAGGTCGTACATGAAACTACGTTCTAAATATTTAATTAATATATCTTAACTCCTTATTTTCTGATATTCTCGATAATGTCGCGTGACTGTTCCATAAGCTGCTTCTGATTCAATTGTTCTTACAACTGGACACATTAGAACGATTAACATTAAACCCAACAAACCGTAGCCTAAAAGAAAAAAAAAAGTTTCTTAATAAACCACTCTGATGGCTTAAAAATGCATCCAGCGCGCGTAATGAGGCCACGTTAGGTGTATTTTCTCATATTTTTTACCATTAGTCGTCTTGATGTCTTGATAAAACACCTCTAAATTACTATTCTTTTTTGATAAAAATAGCTCCGGTGTTTTCGACAGACGTCACTAACGCATCAAAAAGTCATAAGGTAGTAGCTACGGCCAAAACACTTAATCTCCCATTAGTCATAGGTAATCATGTAGTTGCATTCAAGGCACCGGAAATGCATCGAGACTCTTGTTAGACACAAAGTCATTCTGGTACCTAGTCAAGTCATCTCCGGCAAGAGAAATGAAGAGGTAATATTTTCCGATAAGTGTCCTATCTACATTGTTTCTTTGTCCATTATACTGACTAGTATACCCTTGAACAGACTATTTTTAATCTATATCTGCAAGATAAATATTTTGGACAACTATTGATACATTTTCTACTTAATAAAAATCAAGTATCAAATATATTAAGTTGCCAATGAATCGATTCATTTATCGACTATACCTACTTTGATGTTGTACGGTAAGTAAGTATCCTTTCGTTATATCGCAGCAAAAACGACAGTGTATACATTACGAATTCTAACTGTTTTATAATGTTACAGAAAATTATTTATAGTATCCCTGAATATTTCAACAACGACTAGCATGATCGCGAAATTGTTCTTTATTCGCCTCACACCACTCTACATTCTGCATTTTTTGAAATATTTTTAAAAATAAGTGGAAGTTCCTTATCCATGGCCGCTCATGAAACGTCAGTACGCGCTAACCAGCTGTCAGATAAAATACACGAGGCCTACTAAAATTCTCCGACAACTCTATTTCACGATTCACTGCGCATCCATTTCAATTTTAAACTTTCTTGATTTCACATCATTCGAAAGCAAACTATTATGTTCTACACGGTGTACTTTTCATTGCGGATTCATTTTGGAAAAGGTAAGAAAATGAGAACACAAGAGGGTGATCCGAGTTTTGAATGCGTCATTAGACAGAGCGTGGAAAACTACACTAGTGTTACAGATAGGCATGCACCGGTTTCGGTTAACCGAAACCGAACATAACCAAAAATGTTGCATAAGTTCTTGAAAATATGTTTTACACAATATGAAGGAAGCATCCGTTGTTCAATCAACAACTGTTCATCATCAGAAATAAGCCATATAGGTGGTATTTCTGACTTTTCACCGTGAAGGAAGAGTTTCCCAAAATTAACTTTCGGAACACAAGTATGGCAAATTTAATTTTCTAGATTTTATCTGCTGGGCCCACCTTTATACAAATCGATCTTTACAATGAAAACTGATATTTACTGCTTTTCGTCATGAAGATCCATTTGTATAAATGTGCATCCAGTAGATAAAATCTAGAAAATTAAATTTGCCATACTTTTGTTCCGAAACTTAATTTTGGGAAACTCTTAATTCACAGTGAAAAGTTAGAAATATGACTTAGTTGGCTTATTTCTGATTCTGTACACCGTGCATCTTTTTTTTGGGATGAACAATTGTTGATTGAACAACAGATACTTCCTTTATATTGTGTCAAACGTATTCTCAAGAACTCGTGCAACCTTTTCGGTTACGATCGGTTTCGGTTATGATCGATTTCGGTTATTCGGTTAAAAACCGAAACCGGTGCATGCCTAGCTGCAGCAGACTGAACAGTTATTCCAGATTGTGAAGTATTCGATCGCTAGTGCGCCGAAGAGATCACAAAATATTTTAAAACATATTAAAAACAATTTCTAAAGACCTTCTAATTTTGGTCCTCAAAAACCGATTGAGAAAACACTGATTCGTTATCGTTCGTCAACGCGTGACGGTCAACATGGTTGAGGGAAACATATGAATCAACTAACAGAATGGGGTTCGTTGAAGGTTGGCCTGACATTACTTGGATGATGATAAAGAAATTTAACGACATTATCCAAAGAAGGGCGAGAAAATACACATGAATGGATATGACTTATAAAAAGATTGTTGAATACAGCGCAATAAATGTTTTACTTTCCTACCGAAATTTTTTTTGTCAATTCTGAAAGTCCTTTCGACTTTCACCTGAAAATCTTGACACGAAAATATTTTTATACGATCGCACCCCTAATAATTAGTCTCATTACTGGATTATTCGTTACCTTTCAGTGTGGGAATCTTGCTAAGGTAAACACAAGTGCTGTTTCTCATTTGTGTCACATCAAGACTTGGTAATGAGGCGCTGAAACGAAATTTGATTCTTTAGAACAATAAAAAGATCAAAACATAAGCAACTGCTTTCTACAAAAAAAAACGATCCTTCACCACTCTCGGTGGAGCGCAGCTACATGTGCATCATTGTCATTACTAACTAATCCACTTTTTAGAGTCGAATTCCTCATCTTCCTGCAAAAAACCTGTTATGATGCAAAAACTTTCGGTGTGTCGATTACACATATGAACGAAACTTGCATTTTCTTGTGTGGTAAGTGATGTTCCAATCAATAGGCCTTTCATTCAGCCTATTAGGTTCTACTCGTCATGGTTCAATCAAGTAAGGTAATATACGTGGTAAGTTAGTACCAAACTTTTAAATGTATCAGTCTCATGTGGAACGATATATTCTGTCATCTAAATTATTACTGTTCGGTGTTTCAAAAAACATAAAATCAGTCTCTTACAAGTGTACTTCATTCACAATCTGCATGAGACTGTACAACGCTGGCTTGGTGTCCGGTTAATGTGCAAATAAAAGACGAGATATGCTCTGAGTTAAAAATCATATAATTAAGAGATTATTTACAATAAAAAAGCACTGTTCAAAATCCAAAATAAAAATGATTCAGAAAAATTGATTAATGGAACTTGACAAGTTTGATCTTCTTCAACAGAAATTTCAGCTATCATTTGCTTGACACACTCTTGATTGAACAATGGAAAAATGTCGTGTGGATCACGGTTTTCATACAGTTGATTGACTAATGCCAGAAGCAACTGACTTGGATGTGTCCACGATGGCTGCATTGTAACATTAGTTGAAGAGTTGGATGCCGTGGAATGATATCGTTGATGAGGTTATGAAATTTCATTTTTGACTGTATGAAAATAGACCACATGCATGCTAATTCGAATTATGAAAAATGTGTGATAACAATCCGAGTAGAACTTTGCTCTCAATCACTCTTAAAAGATGTGAGCGTCTTTTTTGGGTTATATTACAACTCATTAGTTATCATACAAAAATTACATGGCAAAGTTTTCATGCGACTTCTTTTACTTCCATTTTAAACATTGATATGTACAACAATTTAGACTGAATTTGACAATTTCACATGGAAAAAATTTAAATTTAAATTTAAATTGACAATTAAAATTTAACAGAAAAGAAATAAGACTAGACAAAAGGAATAGTTATAATTTTTTAAACTTTGTTGGATGACTTAACTTATAATCGTACACTATCGGTATACCACGTTTGATTGATCCTTTTCGATAGGTTTTAACTCTTGCATTAAACTGCACTTGTTGTCCTTTCGTCAACTGAAGTTGTTCAAACCCTTTTGTTCGATTGAACCACAAATGATCACACATCGGCTTGGACGTTTGCAATTCACAAATATTTAACATTAAAACGGTACAACGTTTTTTACCACGACCACGTTTCGTGCCATATTTTTCAAATGTTCCGGTAAATGTTGTACGCACTTCATTGATAACCTGTAAATCGACACGAATTTTGACGACTGAGGATGGAGCGGTTGTTGTTATGGATTCAGTATCAACTACCACTAAAAAGTGAACACATACATTGTCTTGGAAAAAGTTGTACTTAGCTACACTTACTTCGTCAAAACTTCGGTTCATATTACAGTATTATCGTTAGAAGAGTTGTTGAAACAATTCTGAAACGAAAAAGTACGTATGTGATTGACACATGTTAGAAATAGACAACGAAAAGTGAGTAAGTTTATATTTATCTGGATAGGACAAATTAGAGATATATTGTATATGTTGTCGCTGGATTAAGCAGAGAACTAGACATTTTTGACTGCATATCGATGCACACGGCCTGTATCTAAAGACAACTACTGCGCTTATTTTTTATGTTGTTGTTTATCTTTGCAATTATTAAGTGAGGAAAAAAAAATTGTCCAGCTTCATCGCTCTCTCCTGTTTTCTGGATGGCCGCCTCGTGTCAACAAGATGCTTATTCGTTTCTTGATCTAAGACGAAAAAGTTAAACTTCCTCGTTTTACGAGTGAATTTGAGTAAAATCACTTTTTATGCGACAAAACACACGTTTAAAGCGAACTTACTGTGTACTAAAAGAAAGATAACATTTCGAAGCACTAAATACAAACTAGTCGGCAATCACGCTAGTGACATTTGTAAATGCGGTGCGAAGCAGCTAAATATAATAATCGGACGCAGGTACTGTTTTCCACGCCCCTGGGATCTTGATTTAATTTAAAAAATGTTTTGAATTACTAAAAGATCCAATGTTTATGAACGAATAAAAGATCGCTGAGGATCCGTTCAAAATTTTTTAAATTTCCCATCTTACTCGTTAGCAAAATCTAGGTGCGCCACACCCAAAAAAACTCGGTCTGCAAAAATCTTTGCAGAATCTGTAAAGATTCTGCAATCTGCAGTTTTTCTGCAATGCAGATGTGCCAAGATTTGGCCAAAGATCTGATGCAGATCTGCAATAAAATCTT